CATAGGGTTTCCTTTTGGCTAATTATTGTCTTCTAGTTTTATTGCATTGTGGTCAGAGAATGTGGTCAGAGGTGTATGTATTTAACTGTCTGTATATCTATTGCTGAGCTTTTATAGTAAAATATTACAAATTTAGTCACTTCCCCTCTGTATTTTTATCTAGTGATGTTCTGTTACTCCCACAACAGAAACCACTTTTCTGTGTTAGTTATTTATTATTACTATATGTTTTAATATTTTTGATACACATATCCCTAAACAATATATTGTACTGTTACTGACATCTAGGGTCTTAATGTAAGTTGAGAGTGCTCAGCATGTGTGCATGCTCAACCGCTCAGTCATGTCCAGCTCTTTTGCGACCCCATGGACTGTAGCCTCCCAGGCGCCTCTGTTCATAGGGTTTCCCAGGCAAAAATACTGGTGTGGGTTCCCATTTCCTTCTCCAGGGGATCTTCCCGACCCAGGGATTGAACCTGCGCCTCTTGTGGCTCCTGCTTTAACAGGTGGATTCTTTACCGCTGCACCACCTGGGAAGCCCCAAATTATTACTGACATTTAAGTTCTTCAGTTCAGTTCAGTGCAGTCGCTCAGTCGTGTCCAACTCTGTGACCCATGCACCACAGCATGCCAGGCCTCCCTGTCCATCACCAACTCCCAGAGTTTACCCAAACTCATGTCCATTGACTCGGTGATGCCATCTAACCATCTCATCCTCTGTTTTCCCCTTCTCCTCTTGCCCTCAATCTTTCCCAGCATCAGGGTCTTTTCAAATGAGTCAGCTGTTTGCATCAGGTGGCCAAAATTTTGGGGTTTCAGCTTCATCAGTCCTTCCAATGAACACCCAGGACTGATCTCCTTTAGGATGGACTGGTTCGATCTCCTTGCAATCCAAGGGACTCTCAAGAGTCTTCTCCAACACCACAGTTCAAAAGCATCAATTCTTCAGCACTCAGCTTTCTTTATAGTCCAGTTCTCACATCCATACATGACTACTGGAAAAACCATAGCCTTGACTAGATGGACCTTTGTTGAGAAAGTAATGTCTCTGCTTTTTAATATGCTATCNTCATGGTTCACATATTACTGAAGCCTGGCTTGGAGAATTTTGAGCATTACTTTATTAGTGAGTGAGATAAGTGCAATTGTGTGGTAGTTTGAGCATTCTTTGGGATTGCCTTTCTTTGGGATTGGAATGAAAACTGACCTTTTCCAGCTCTGTGGTCACTGCTCAGTTTTCCAAATTTGCTGGCATATTGAGTGCAGCACTTTCACAGCATCATCTTTCAGGATTTGAAATAGCTCAACTGGAATTCCATCACTTCCACTAGCTTTGTTTGTAGTGATACTTCCTAAGGCCCACTTGACTTCACATTCCAGAATTTCTGGCTCTAGGTGAGTGATCACACGATATGATATGCATGCTTTAACAACTTTTTGCTTTAGCAAAAATATTTGTTTTATTTTTTGTCTGTTTGTGAGATTCATTCATAGTTTTTTATTTTTCATGGCTATATTGTATTTTACAAAGGACCGGGGCATTTTATTCAGTCTCTTTTAATAGACTTTTAGGTGGTTACCATTATTTTGCACTAAGATTTACTGATGGTTGGAACATTATGTACATTTCTTGGTATATCTAAGAATTTTAAAAGCGTATTCATTTAGGAATAAAATTTTCATGTCATAGAGTAATGTATGCTTTCATCTTTACCAAGTATTGCCAACTTATTCTTTAAAGTGGCCAAGTCAATTTATAATTTCTCTAGCAATGTGTAAAGTTTCTAATTTCACTATATTTTCTCTGACATGTAGTAACAGATTTGACCAATGTGAAATAATATGTCACTGTAGTTTAAATTTGCATTTTTCTGAATACTATTTTGCCTTCAATATCTTTTCATATGGTTTGTGGCTGTTTGGGGTTTCTTCTTCTGGGAATTGCCTATTTTCCCCTTGGGTTGCTTGTCATATGCTTATTGATTTGCAGAAATGCTTTCCATATTCTGGCTACATCTTACAAAATCACTTTTGTATTTGTAGGTTATAATAATGTTCTTGAAGAATCTTTTCTAGACATTTTATGTGCAGGACTTTAGTACTTGTAGAATGGGCTTGTAAATGGTCTGAGCAAAGGATCCCAGTTTATCTTCTCTGTATGTATGGAGAACTAGTTGTCTCAGCACCGTTTCTGGACGTTAATGTCCTTTCCCTCTTGATTTATAGGACCACCTTAGTCGTCACTGTGTGGATTTATTTCTGAGTTCTTATCTGTGTGTTGGTTGTTCTGTTACCTATTCCTGTGTCATATTACTATACATTTGTAGTAAATCTTAATATCTGGTAAGGCAGCTTCATTCAGCTGGTTGTTCTTAAAGCTTGTACTGGTTATTCTTGGCCCTTCTTCTCCATATAAGCTTAAAAATCAGCTTGCTATGGTCCATGGCAAAATTTTTTCGGTATTTGATTGGACTTAAATTTATACAAGTTCATTTGGGAATTGATATCCTGATGATATTGAATCTTCTGTCCATGATTATCATACATTTCTTTAGTTATCTTTGTCTTAACTGAAATCTTCCTTAAAGTTTTATAATTTCTTCTTTAATGTCTTGTGTATCTTTTGAAAGATATTTTCTGTATATAATATACTTTTGCTGCTTTTGTAGATAGTATCTTTTTAAAAAAAATTTACATTTTCTTCCTATTTTTTTGCTAATGGATAGAGATATAAGGTCAGGCAGTCTGGTATTCCCATATATATGCGTTAATATACTGTATTAATGTTTTTCTTTCTGACTTACTTGACTCTGTATAATAGGTTCCAGTTTCATCCACCTCATTAGAACTGATTCAAATATGTTCTTTCACTTAGTTGAGTGATATTCCATTGTGTATATGTACCACAGCTTTCTTATCCATTCGTCTGCCAGTGGACATCTAGGTTGCTTCCATGTCCTGGCTATTATAAACAGTGCTGCGATGAACATTGGGGTGCATGTGTCTCTTTCAGATCTGGTTTCCTCGGTGTGTATGCCCAGAAGTGGGATTGCTGGGTCATATGGCAGTTCTATTTCCAGATTTTTAAGGAATCTCCACACTGTTCTCCATAGTGGCTGTACTAGTTTGCATTCCCACCAACAGTGTAAGAGGGTTCCCTTTTCTCCACACCCTCTCCAGCATTTATTGCTTGTAGACTTGGATAGCAGCCATTCTGACTGGCATATAATGGTACCTCATTGTGGTTTTGATTTGCATTTCTCTGATAATGAGTGATGTTGAGCAGAAGATACTTATTTTTAAGCTCTTTCAGATACAGATTCCTAGTATGTGAGTTTCACTTTGTCTGCTGTCATAGTGCTTTTTGTGTTTATGCAGGTGATTTTTAATCATGAACTCACCTTCAGCAGAATGTATGTCTCATATCCTCTGGGTTGGGGAGGTGACCTTATGGGGGTGGCTTGGGCTTTGCCTCTCAAGACCTTATTGAACTTCCTTAGTCTGAAAGTGGTTTTTATGTTAATTTCTTGGTTTGGGATTAAAAGAAACTAACAAAGCAGTGAGTATTTGGACTGTAGCCCTACTTCTCCCTTTCATGCTCCCTTTTTGAAGTGCCAATCACTGCTAGCCTCAGTTCACTGTCCCCAACACAACCCCAACACTGCCCCAACAATAAGCACTGGTATTTTGCTGCATCTGGTTGGCCTGGGTCAGCACCAACACTGCCCCAACAATAAGCACTGGTATTTTGCTGCATCTGGTTGGCCTGGGTCAGCACAGGATCTGTAGTTTTCCTTTTGATATTTTCTTTGACTATGCCAGATGCTACCACTGAGTAATTTGGATTTTGCTGCCAAACTATACTTCCATTAGTACAGAGGGAAGACAGCACGCCAGTTCTCTTGCTGAGTGTGCATGACTGGCAGAAGGCAGCCTTGGGTATAATGGCTAGAGGAAACGAACTGAGCCAATAATATTTTAAGAAGCAATTATCTAATTTTGTTAACTCTTGATGGCATTATTATATCATTGATGGTTATGAATTATAAAAATTACTGTTTTTAAAAAGAGGGAATTGAACATTTCATTTCTAATAGCTCTGTTTGGTTCTTTTTCAGTATATCTAGTGAATGTACATAACATCTCGTATCTTTTTTTTTTTAAATAATTTTATTTACTCTTGGCTGTGCTGACTTTTCTCTAGTTGCAGTGTGAGGGAGCTACTCTCTAGATGCTTCTCATCACAGTGGCTCCTCTTGTGGTGGAGCCCAGGCTCCAGGGCGCAGGCTCCATGGTTGTGGTCCCTGGGCTTAGCTGCTCAACAGCGTGTGGAATCTTCCTATCAGGGATCAAGCCTGTGTCCTGGATTCTTTACTGCTGAGCCACAAGAGAAGCCCCTCATTTCTTCTTGTGTTTACTTATTTTATACTTTCTAGTGTTGTATAAATATTTTATAGATTAATTTATAATAATAGCAACTGCAGAACTATGACTTTTAATGAATAGAAAAAGAACATGCCTTCCTTTTTTGGAAACTAGTAGTTAGGTTTAAAGTCCTCCTGTTAGCCTGTGAGTAGAGTACAGGTTTAGCCTCTGCAAAACACATAAAATTAGTATTGGGCTTTCAGATTAGAAAAATAATGAAGTACTCTGAGTACCAGTTTTTCTACTCTGAGTAAACAATCATTTTAAATTTCATTTCTCCAGTTATTGAGAATGGCTGTGTTTAAGTGAGGCTTGGATGAATGAGCATGGGACTGGCACAGACACATTAATACTTATTAACAAGCCTACATTAACTAAAATGTCTATTTTATTAAAAACTAACCCTTTTAGACTATTGAGAGGAAGGTTAGTGTGAAAGGTATGCATGGATGGCTTATTTTAAAATAAGATATTTAAAATTTTTTAAAAATAAAATTTTAAATAAACATAATTTTGTAATTTCAGACACTAAAGTACTCATTAATATTTCCATTGGTGGGAACTCTGGAACTCTAAGGAAATTGTGCTTCCTCTAAGAATCTTTCAGTTTTCCTTATTTTTGACAGCAGGGCTATTTAACATCCTATATATCCCTTTTTGCTTTGACTGCCTGGAAACTCGGGACACATTCTGCTAAAATCTGTTTAGGCCTTTCCGGCCTGCATATTTGCATTGTATTCTTTATCCCTCCACCTCATTTTGACTTTCTAATCTAATTATTTTCCTCCTTGTTCTCATATAAATTTTTTTTCTACTTATGTGTTTGTTGTAAGATGCCTCATCTTTTATAACCCAAGATTGCATATCAGTAAGTAAAATAGAATCAGTGTTCCTTTTAGTAAATCCTGCTAGTTTAATACATGTGTACACAAATATGCAGCAGTAGTTATCAACTTACAGTTAGGTTATTTTCCAGTTTTTTTTTTGCTAAGATTAGCTTTTAATCTGAAATGTTCTCTGCTAGAAACCAATAGGGTATTGTACCAGAACGTAAGCTTATTTAAAATAAAGTATAGCTATGAAACTTTAAACAGTGATCCCCATTTAGAACTTAAATTTTGAAAGAAAATAGGTTGAGTTCCAATGGAAGAAGTTAATAATACACCCATGGCATGAATACCCCACCATTCCCACCCATTTCCTGGATCTTTCCGCAGATCTGCTCAGCTTCCTTTTTTCCACTGCTGCAATCAGCAACGCTAGTGACAATTGCTGTCCTGCAATGTGTTGTGAGTGTGGGCTTCTGACCCTCCTAAGGGGCTCAGGGTCCAAAGAGGTGATCAAAACTTGGCAAGGCTTATGTTCAGCCATGGTGACGGGTCCTGTGAGCATTCATGATGACACTGTGTAAAGTGCCTGGGACTTTGGGCGGATGGCAGCAGGTGTGAATGAGGGATTTCCAAGTAGGAGAACACCTGGGAAAAAAAGGGTGAGGTAGAGACAGAAACCAGTTTTCTCCCATCATTTTTGACACCTTGCAGAATCCCCTTTGCTAAGATTTGTGTTTGTTCAAGCCTACCAGGAGCTCACCAAAAAGTGGTTAACCCCCATGACCTCAGTTTCTGTGGTCCAGCGAGCAGCCTAGTCACTGGGCTTTTCCTCTGCCCCTCACCATTCACCTGCCACTTCATCATTAATTCCTTAGTAGTGATTTTCCCCTTACCACACTTCACACTCTGATAAATTCTGATAAAGCATGTGGGATTTTTTTTGGAAATAATTTGTCTCTGGTTTCCTTTCCTTTAAAATGTAGGTTGTCTTCTTTGTCTTGATTTTGCGATCAGATGCTTTGTCTCCGGAGAGGATCACTTCTGTAGACTTAACAACATGAGTTTAATCTGCTAAATTAGAGAGACCAGCAAGAAAAGAAGAGCCTATACCTGGACTTTGAGGCATACGTTATTTTGCTAGGAGGATTAAAAAAAAAAGTTCCCTTTTAACCACAGAACCCCTCCATTGGAAAGGATTCTGAAAGAAATGAAGAAAACCACCAGAAATGAAATCAGTAGCATCATGGCCTTCTGTTGACTGGACTAGACTTTTCTTCCTGCCATTCCTTGGAATGACACTGTACAGGATGTCTGCTGAGGTCATCCATCAGGTAGAAGAAGCACTTGGTGAGGATGAGAAGGATGCACTGCTTTTTTTGTGCCGAGATGTTGCTGCAGATGTGGTTCCACTGAATGTCAGGGATCTTCTGGATGTTTTAAGAGAGAGAGGAAAGCTGTCTTCTGTGAGCTTGGCTGAGCTGCTCTACAGAGTGAGGCGGTTTGACTTGCTCAAGAAGGTCTTGAATATGGATGCCCCGACAGTGGAGGCCCTCCTGCGCAGGCACCCACGTCTGATTTCAGACTATAGGTAATGCATCAGCCCCTCCCGAGGCCGCCCCAGTGGGAGGGAGGGAGGGAGGTCTAGACTTCAGAACCATAGAAATGAGGACATTAAGAAAAGCAGGTTCATCCCTTTATCTACCCACCGACCTTATTTCCCTATTGATGTTCATTCTTATGAAATGTTTGAATCCTTAGTACGTGTTTGCTTAAAATGACTGGGTAGAAGGTCAGAATGAAACTGGAAAGGACAGATGGTACATGTTTGCCTAATGGGTAGAATGGTACAGACAAATGACTAAGGGCTAGGACTCTTGCAGGCTTCTAATTATGAGGTCCGCTGTGTTCTTTGCTAGCCTGTGATGTCAGAGCTGGGCAATTTCCTCTTCTGAGAAAGGAAAATAACAAGCCTGACAGTAATCTTCCTGACCTTTGTAGAGCTTTGTGATCCTTCCTGAATCCCTTCTGGTCTTTCCCCTCCCAAGGAAGTTAGTGGGGGAGCTAGCTTTCTGTGAGTGTCTGTGAGGTCCCTGCTCCCGAAGGCTCTGGGGAGCCCAGATTGATGGTTTCTTCAATTGACCACATCTAGACTCCCTTAAGTTCAGAGGGGAATGGCCACTGGAGTTCCCTTTAGTTCAGACAGCCTTTGAATTGTTCCTTCCTCCTGGTCACAGAGCATTCTCTTGGAGGCTCAGAGACACACAGAAACCACAGGAAAGGCTGCATTTCTGGGGAAAGAAAGACAATTTTTAACCTTAAATTAGTGATTCTTTTTTCTCTGGACCACTGGTCTTTAGTTATATCATTAAGTATATTTGGAGATGATATACATGATTAAAAACTGTATTAAAGAGGGTTGCAAGCAGTGTGGCCCTTGGAACGTGGATGAGACTTGAGATTAAAGGTCTGTTTGAAGCCTCAGAACCAATACCAGCCACGGAGGCTGAGCCAGCCGCTGCCATTGGTTGGGCTTTCATTTTCCTGCTTGTGAAGCTAAGAATAATATCTGATTTTACAAGTGTGTCTGTAAGGATTGATTGTGATAATTTAGTTTGTGAAGTACCTTTAAAAATTATTATATTTTGAATTATGTAAGGCACTTTTTAAAACCAGGTAGCACTCTACCAATATAAGGGTTAATTATCGTTGTTGCTATTTTTCTTAATCATCTTCCCTTTCTCCAACCATTATATGATGTCAGAAATCTTAAAACTTTTCAGGAGGCACTGACTGGGTTTTTGTGAAAAAGTCAGGGGACTTTCTACATCTTCTGTTTCCTTGCTATAGTGAATGGAGACAGTTTGGGGACCTCTGAGTAGAGAGGCCAGGGAATGCTAGTTTCATTTATTCATCTATTGAGTGGGCTTTATTGTGGGTTGACATATGTGAAGTGTTTGGTAAGCACTGGAGCAAAACAAAGGATCTTCCATCCTCAAGAATCTGAGAGTCTAATTGGGAAAATGGGCTTCTAAGCAGTGATGACAATGACAAGGTACCAGTGACAATCATGAAATGTCCTTGGGAGCCCCGATAAAGCATGCTGGTACTCCAGCTGTTACACAGATGACTAAGTGAGGAGGGGCTTTCTACACAGTCCCAGTCCCCAGGATGTAGATGCCTTTTACCCTTTGAGTTCTGGGGTGAGCCAGGACAGCTCAGGTGTTACTTTGCTTCACAGTCTTGTGATTCAAAGTATTGTCCCTGTATTAGCAGCTTCAGCATCACCCGGGACTTTGTTAAACTGAGAGGATGAGATCATTTTGAATTCTATTTACGTCTTTCATCTTAGTCATTTAGGTTCTTCATTTATTTCACTATAATTTCTGGGAGAGCTGGGGTATTCTTTGGGGAAGTTTTTATTCATTGTTCTTTTTATAGCAGATGGTAAAAGAGGTACCACGTTCTACTGAAAACTCAGAAGGGATAAGTTTCCTTTTTGAATTTCCTTAAGATCTCCTGGGGTGATCTGTGCTTTCTGTTTTCTGGGGGACACATTCAAAATAGGGGCAAGAATTTGTCTCTTAACCGATTTTTGGCCTAGAGGAGACCTGCACTCTTGGTATTCTCACTAGGACTTGTGTCTGAATTTACTAAAGAACCTTGTCTGGTTTTCAGGGTGCTGATAATGGAGATTGATGAGGATTTGGAAAAGTCTGACGTGTCCTCGTTAATGTTCCTCATGAGAGATTATATGGGCCGAAGCAAGATGGCCAAGGATAAGGTGAGTTTTCTTTCTTTTTCTTGATTCATGTCCCCAAGAGTCTTATCAGAAGTTGGGAGTTGTTCTCTATGGTATGAAGAGAGGGTATCAGGCACTTAAGCAAGGAGGCCCAGATTGAGGGTGAAGGTGGGAAGGGAGAAGAGTATGAGGGTTTTTTCATAGTAACACTGATGGGAAGAAAATTGGTTCATGAATTAAGAGGCAATAGAGTGATATTGGCTGGTGTGGCCCTGGGTGTGTGTTTCATCCTTGTATTTTATCCTTTATCTGTGCCTGGCTTATCCTTCAGCTGCTCTCCCTGGGTTGACAGTTCATCCGGCAGGGTTAGGAAGTCCCATCTGCTCACGCCGAGTGGAGGCAGATGGGAAGGGCTGGCCCACTGCCACCTTGCTCTCTGCTGTCTCTCTATCCTCAGACAGTTCAGGGTCAGCGTGGCGTCATCAGGCTGCGGGGGAGATGGGCAGGGGAAGGTCCTTGAGACGGTTGAATCCAGAGAGTGGCAGAGGTAGAGATTTGCAGTTGAAAATGAGCTAGGGGTGAAATCTCAGGGATGCTGGGTCACTGGAAAAGTATTTAAATCCCAGCTGGCCTGATATGTACTTCTGAACTGGGGACAGGCCAGGAAAAGCTCAAGTCTCTAGTATCAACGACCTGCTTCTGAGGACTTTGGTAAATCATTGCTTAAGAATCTCCTCATGTTTCTTAATGATTGTTGTTTGATTTCTGAGATCTAGGAATATATAGGGCAACTGTATGCCCCCATTATCAAATGCTAAATGGAAAGTAAAATTAAAAAAATAGAACTCATTTTTTGGCGTCCCCTAATCTACTTATTTCTCAATCATTTATTTAGATTTAATTATGATTATTAATTGAAAAATAAAGATAGCACATTAGTAACCAAATGTTAAACAGAAAGAAAATAAAATCAGAAGTGATGCCTATTTCTGAAATGTAGTTCTTTTGCAATTCCTATGTTCCAGGCTGAACAAGTAGCAAAATACCCTCACCTTGTAATTTGACCACCTCATGTCTGTCCACTGTATCAGAATGAACTGGAATTTCCAGCACTGATTAAAACATTTTAGGAACTTCAAGATTATATCATTTAGAATTTTTCTAGTAAAGCCATTTCCCCAGCTACCTTCTCACTTCCCTTTTTCAGTAAATCCCTTAGAGTTTTTCAGTATGACACCAGCTTGGCTTTTGGGAAGAGAATTAATGCAGGAGGATTTTATTTTCGGCCTGCTTTCTTAATCCTTCATGCAAAAAATGACTCATGCATCTATTCCCAACCTAGGTGCAGTTGGCACCCCCCAAAGACTTACCTCTTTTCTGGGTAAATTCCAGGAGTGTAATTTGCTCGTGGCCTTGGAGAGACAATAAAACAAAGCAGTCTGGTTTAGGATCCTTGAAGGTCACTCAGAGGGCTCCTCTGGTCATATTTTTTTGTTGTTATAGATTATGCAGCCTGATGTTTGCATATGAGGCCTGATGGTCAGCCTTACTGACATTTGTTTCTTGTTGACGGTCTTCTTAGAGTTTCTTGGATCTTGTGGTTGAATTGGAGAAGCTAAATCTGGTTGCTCCAGATCAACTGGATTTGTTAGAAGAATGCCTGAGGAACATCAACAGGATAGACCTGAAGACAAAAATCCAGAAATACAGGCAGTCAGGTGAGCAGCATTTTGGCCCTCTCTGTGGCCTAAGGAAGTGCCTATATGTAGTGGGTTAGGTTGGTAGAGATTCATTGTACAGAACCCGAATGTCCATGGCCCTCACCAGCCTGAGGCTAGCCATCGGAATCCTTTATATCCTCTATGCCCCATATCTGCTGACTTCATCACCCAGCACCCCTGACCACAGAGTCTTGGCCCTCTGTAAAATGCCGCCAAGCAACTGTTAACATTCTGGGCTTCAGGAAGGAGTCTGTACCCCAGCTTCCTGCACTGGCTGGTGGCATTGTGTGCACTCAGGGCTGCTGAGTCTACGCCACGCCCTGCTGCCTTGCCTGACCACCATCCAAGCTCTGGAGACATCCTGTCCCTGGGATCCTGTAACTGCCTTGCATATAACCTCCTCATGAAAAGGGGCATCTTTTCTGCTGAACCCCTTCCACAAAGGGGACCAGCTCACACTGGCCTTCTCTCTCATGGCACCCCTTCCCGTGTCTTTTATTTATTTTTTATTTTATTTTTAGATTGGAGGCTAATTACTTTACAGTATTGTGGTGGTTTTTGCCGTACATTCACATGGATCAGCCGTGGGTGCACATGCGTTCCCCATCCTGACCCTCCCCATCCCGTCCCTCAGTTCCCATGTCTTTTAGACTCACACTCAGTATGGGCTCTGCTCACAGTCTACTGCCACCATAGAGCCTGAGGGCGTGACTGATACCCAGTGATCTGCACACAGCCCTCCCCCATGCCCATGAATGAGTCAAGATCGAGAATAGGAGTAGCACTTTTAGTCTGTTCTTAATGACATTGTGAGAAGAGTCATCCGATCTGACATTTTGAATTCAGTGAGTGGCTGGAAAGTTTTGGGTATTTTGAAAGATCATGACTGACTCTGAACTGAGCCTTTGTTGAAGATTCATTTGATGACAATTTGTCAATCTTAATAACTCAGTGCCTCGCTTCTGCTTATAGCTCAAGGACCGGACAAAAATTACGTAAATGCTCTCCAGGCATCTCTGCCAAACTTGAGTATTAAAGATCCTTCATATACCCTAAGGGTGAGTCTGAGGAAAATGTGTGGAATCCTGGCATGAAACAATTTCATAACTTTAATAAAAATGTACATATTCTCCTAGCATGTATTTCAAATTTAACATCTGAAAAAAATTGTGACAGAAATATGTATTTGTTTATAAAATATGTATAAATTCTTATAATTTCAAAGCTAATGTGTTTATTGAGATAACTTGGAAAATACAGAGAACTATATATAAAGGAAAGAATGTAAATCACCCCCAGGTCAACAGTTGTTCCCTGCTAGTCTTTTTTCCCTGTGTGCTTATGTATGCACATATGCAGACATTTTTTCCGTTGTTTGTGTGTCCCTTTGAAATGTTACCTTTTTATTTTTTAGTATTTGTTTATTATTTATTTGGCTGCACCAGGTCTTAGTTGTAGCATGTGAACTCTGTTGTGGCATGTGAGATCTAGGTCCCTGACTGGGGATCAAACTTGTGTCCCCTGCACTACAAGACAGATTCTTAACCGCTGGACCACCAAGGAAGTCTAGAGAATTTAACTTTCTAGATAAAAATAGGTCGGACATGCCCATGGACAAAAAATTCAAAATGTGCTAAAGTGGTTTTTAAAGTATGTTTCCTCTTACCCAGTCCCTTTCCCCAGAAGCAGCTGTTGTTACCCATTTTCTTCTCTGACCATTTGGAGATAATCTCTGCACATATCATATTAATTTTTACTTTTTTTCTTCTGTACAAAGGGTAGCACATTGTGCCCACTGTCCTGACCTGAGAATTCTTAGAAATTTTTTCGTATGAATCATATGGGACTGCCTCTATTTAATCATTGTTTTTAGTGATTGGACATAGTTTCACTTTCTAGATGTATCACAGTATGTTTTATATATGTGGATTTAGATTTTTTCCTAATCTTTTGTTATAAGACAGTACTTCAAAATAAATATCCTTGCATTTACCTCTTTGTGCATTTGCTTTTCATTGAGCTTATTTTAGTGATTTCAACAAAAGTGTAAAAGTGTTTTTGTCACTGAGTGATTGATTTGTGATCATAAATAACAGATAGTCACTTCTGGTGGTTGTGTTAGTCAGCAGTGCAAGGTCATCATCAGAATAATTGTTTAGTTAATTTTTTATACTGAGAATTTAATCTTACTGTAATCTCATCCTCATCCACATATAAGGATATAGGGAATATATAGTTAGGACCACAGTTTATCATTTGTGATTAAATCATAAGCACTTTCATAAAAGTATGTGCTGAAAATATTGACTGTACCTGTAATAAAAATAGTTTTGTGGAGAAGATAAGTTGTAAGAGAGCATTAAGCAATAGAATTTCTGAACTCAGATGGATGGTGGTAGGCATTAACTGCCCAACCCTCTCATTAAATAAATAAGGACATTTAGGCCTAAGGACCTAAGGACCAGAAGGCCTCCGTTGAGGCTGAGCTGGTAAAGAATCCGCCTGCAATGTGGGGAACCTGGGTTCAATCCCTGAGTTGGGAAGATCCCCTGGAGAAGGGAAAGGCTACCCACTCCAGTATTCTGGCCTGGAGAATTCCATGGACTGTGTAGTTCATGGGGTTGCAAAGAGTCAGACAGGACTGAGCAACTTTCACTCAGGCCTAAGGAACATTGAGTGCCCACTCTACCTACCGCCAGACTTAGGCCCACCCATACTCCTTCTACACCATGGTGTATTTTTTCCAGAATTAAATATGCTTTTCTTTGTCCTTCTGAACCTCTGTGATACCAAATCATGAGAGAAGACTGATCTAGGATTCAGATCCAGATTTTCTGAACTTTCTTTGCTATGGTGTATCTAACAGAAATTATACGGTCATTCTTAGTTAAAAGCCTGCCGTGTTTTCGTTATGGCCTTTCTATTTTGTTAATGCAAGTAATTATATTCACTGTCTATGTGGCTTTTTAGGAACCCACATGCTCTGTAAATTTTGCCTTAAATTTGCTATATTAATGTGTGGCCTTGGTCATTCATTCATTTAGTTAGCACGCACTATGGTGTATGAATTCAGTGAATTCCTCACAAGATTTAGGAGCCTGGATGTTAACTCATACAAGTTTGCAAAGGTGCTTTTAAAATTACAGTAGCATTTGCCATCCCAAATTCCAAAGATTCCTGGATGCCCTTAGAGAAGTCTTACCCACTTACCCCACCCTAAATGTCCTATCTCTTTATTCTAAATGCCCCATCTCTTTGTAAAATTTCGTCCAAATTTAGCCCCTGAGTTCGAATACTTCCCTTTATGTGACAGAATATCTTTGGAAATGTTAAAGTTAATTTCCAGAGATATAAACATTTCCTTGTTATTATTTATTTATAATTTAATTCTGTTTTGGTCAAATAATTGCTCTGTATGATTTCTGTCCTTTAGAACACACTGAGTTTTTTGTTTGCTTTTTATGACACATTATACAGTCTGTTTTGGTGAATGCTATATGCACTTTGTAAAAAAAAAAAAGAATGTTCTCAACTGTTGAGTGAAATGTTGGATACATTGCAGTTAGTTCAAGCTGGCTGAATGGTTTTCAAATACATTCTTTATTATTAAAAAAATTGCAGTGGCATTGTAGGACACATGATACCAACATATGAATTAACAAATTATGGGACTTTCCTGGCAATCTAGTGGTTAGGGCTCTGTGCTTCCACTGCAGAGGGCCACAGGTTTGATCCCATGTTGGGGAACTAAGATCCTGCAAGCCACGCGGTGCAGCCAAAAAAAAAGTTGTAACTCTGTACTATAACTTTTTTTATATTTATCTAGAGTAAATCTAGCTTTGATTTGATGTTGTATCTCTTTGATAGTATGTAAGAGTGAATGCACACCCATGTGGGGTTCCAGATTCTAATATCATTATCCTCTGGCTAAGTCATTGGTTATTACTGATAAAAGCAGTTTATGTGTTTTCTTTGATTTAGCTGCACAGACTTAGCTCTAGACACAGCTTAATGAATAGTGTACTTTCTCTTTTGGCTAGGGTAGCTTCAGAGGAGAGCTGTCATTTGAAAGCTGAGCGTATCAGATGGTTGACAGTATGTGCTATGTGTGCCTTACACAGGACCTGTCATCTGAGAAGAGAAAGGGTCTGTTCCATCTTTCATTCTCTGATTCATCCCATTCTGGCCCTCGGAGAGGGTGGCTAATGTTCAAGAGCCACGCCCACATGTGGCTTACGCATAGCTAGGCATCATAGAAAAAGAAAAACTCGACATTTATTAAGCACTTCCATATGCTTAAAAGGCACTGTGCTGAGTGCCTTGTGTACATGTAATCCTCAAAAATATTTATAAGGTAGGTACTATTATTGTCCTCATTTTGAAGATAAACAGACATATAGTTAAAGAATTTGCTCAAAGTTACATAGCTAATACGTGGCAGAATTCCACGCCCACTCTTAATCATACCTCTGCCTTGCCTCTGTGTTAAAGATCAGGCTGAAGGACCTGATCTTTAACACAGAATGTTGATTGTTGCAAGTTCCAACAGCTTGTTCTAACTTGGAGTTATTGTGGCAACTCTCTTGTACCATGACGTCTGACTTTATTGAGCTGTTTTTGAAACATTCTAATATGCTAGTTGAATATATTGACACATTTATTGTATTACTTTGAATTGCTGCTTTGGTCACAGACTATGGTTTTATGGAATTAATGTCTCTTGCTAGTTTTCTTTAGATAATATAACAGTGGATGTGATACATTTATTTATTCCTAAGTAAGAATCCTATCAAGATATTTAAAGAGGTGTAATATAATATGCTTCTGAAAAATAAACGGGGAGTGTGACCTTGTTTTTTATGTTTGAAGATCCAGAATGGCAGGAGTAAAGACCAAAGGCTTATGATGGGACCACCTGACATTCAAAGTAAGACCAGCTTTTCTTTATATTTGCCTTTATAAATGCTTGATAATTCAAGTACAAAATGTTGCATGTTTAGAGCTGGCCATTCCTTTATCTACATATTTTAATTAAGCTCTCAAAATGAACAGTTAAACTCTTAAAGTATATTCATTGGCATTTCTAGTTATCCATCAAATTAGCTTATTTGAATGTAAATACCTCTGACTTCATCATTTTGGCTATATATTTTAAAAGATGTGACATTTATACCTCAAACAGAACTATAACCAGGCCGTGTTAAACATTAATCTAGCCATGGTCATAAGCCATGTTAAACCAAATATCTAGGAGCAGGAAGAAAAAAGGTTGCTAGGATCTTGTTTTATAGCCCATTTAATAAATGTAGATACTGTAAGATGACATTCGCCACCTCTACAAATAAAAGAATTTTTAAAAAAACCTAGTCATCTGGTCCCATCATTTTGTGGCAAATAGATGGGAAACAATGGAAACAATGACAGACTATTTTCTTGGACTCCAAAATCATTGCTGATGGTGACTACAGCCATGAAATTAAAAGATGCTTGCTCCTTGGAAGAAAAACTCTGACCAACCAGGACAACATATTAAAAAGCAGAGACATTACTTTGCTGACAAAGGTCCATCTAGTCAAAGCTATGGTTTTTCCAGTAGTCATGTATGGATGTGAGAGTTGGAGTATAAAGAAAGCTGAGGGCTGAAAAATTGATGCTTTTGTACTGTGGTGTTGGAGAAAACTCTTGAGAGTTCCTTGGACTGTAAGGAGATCCAACCAGTCCATCCTAAAGGAAATCAGTCCTGAATATTCATTGGAAGGACTGATGCTGAAGCTGAAACTCCAGTACTTTGGCCACCTGATGCAAAGAACTGACTCATTTGAAAAGACCCTGATGCTGGGAAAGATTGAAGGCAGGAGGAGAAGGGGACGACAGAGGATAAGTTGGTTGGATGGGATTACTGACTTGATGGACATGAGTTTGAGCAAGCTCTGGGTGTTGGTGATGGACAGGGAAGCCTGGAGTGCTTCAGTCCATGGGGTTGCAAAGAGTCGGACGTGACTGAGCGACTGAACTGAGTCATTTCAACCAAAAGATTTAAGGGATGTAAGATCTCTGTCATCACTCTTAAAACATCAGCTCTTGATGCTATCATTTTCAGGAAGGGTACTTTTTGCTTGTCTTGAGTCCTCCTTGAAAAGAGGGCTGAGTCTTACTGTAGTGGATGTGATTGTACTTAAGGGGTGGGGCTGCTTAGACAGGTAAGGAGGGCTCAGTCTTACCAGAGGAGCTTGTAATTGTCCTGTGTGCAGTGGCGATCCTGAGTGTACTAAGCAGGGTGGCGGCTGGATGGAAGCCTCCTTTATGTGGCAGGCCCCTTGCCAGCATCCCTTGACTCAGGCAATATACTGTCTGTGTGCACCTCCAAACATTCTGCCCACATCAGCCAGATGGAGCAGGTGGAATGCCCATCATTCCATGCATAAAAGTCGGCCCTCCAGCCAGAGCTGTTGAAGAGTGAGTTAATTTCTGACAGCATGTTTCTTAAAACACCGGTGAGGTGGTAAGAGTTAGCTGTTTAAATTGGGAGACCCGGTAGATTTGGATAGGAATTTAAAATAATCAGAGCTCTTTCCACTGGGCTCTGTGATGGCCGATTTATCCTTAATGGTACTTATACAGGTGAGGTAGAGGAGCTCTCAATAGCCCTGCAGATCCGTAGGAGAGCTGGTTGCCTGCTCTTGCCTGGATATGGTTCATTTGCTGGTAAAAGAGAAAAGCATCCTGATAACTTGCCCTCAATCTAATAGAAGTTTAAAATAATCAAACCAAGTATTCATATTATTTCGGACTTTCAAATAGATTTCAACTGGATGATGATTGCAATAACTATAATTTATTAACACTTTTAGTAAGTGCTAAGTACCCTGAAACGCCAGTACTTTGGCCACCTCATGTGAAGAGTTGACTCATTGGAAAAGACCCTGATGCTGGGAGGGATTGGGGGCCAGAGGAGACCGGGACGACAGAGGATGAGATGGCTGGATGGCATCACCGACTCGATGGGCATGAGTCTGAGTAAACTCCGGGAGTTGGTGATGGACAAGGAGGCCTGGCGTGCTATGATTCATGGGGTCGCAAAGAGTCAGACACGACTGAGTGACTGAACTGAACTGAACTGAACTGAAGTACCCTGAACTGAGATGGACATGTTACATAGATTATTTTGTGTGTTTTCCTTTAATTCTGTCAAATATAAATATATTTCTGTTAAAATATAAAAAAGTGAAAATTTCCTCTTAATTCTGAGTTTCAGACATAACCACTATTAATGTTTGATCTGTGTACCTCTAATAAGTATATGTAATATACACACACAGATACATGATTTTAAGTACATTGGCTCAATATTAAACGTATTATTCAGTAATCTGTTTTTCTCTTAATATATCCTACATATCTTTTCATGTCAAGTACATAAAATCTCTGTTATCTGTTTTAACATTGCATAGTATTCTATTATATGTACCATTATTTATTTAACCAGTTTCTTGTTAGTAGACTTTCAGGCTCTTTCTAGCTTAGGGCCATTATAGTCCTTTAGTACCTCTCCATGACATTTTTGCACACTTGTTCTGTTATTTCCTTAGGATAAACTTCTAGAAGCAGAACATTGGTTTAAAGGGTATTGCTAATTGTCCCTTAAAAATTCTGTTTCGGCTTATACAGCATTACCATTTGAAAGTGCTCATTTCCCCAAACTTGACCAACACTGGCATTTTCTTTGCTTGTCTTTAGATATTATTCCTCATTTCTGCAGCAGTCTTATAAATTCAGTGCTCATCTCAGAGATTAAAAAACATAACACGACAAAACAAAACCCCACCAAACCCTGAGACTTCAGGAAGAAACTTGCCCCAGATCACAGAGCTTACCAGTGATGGTGCTAGGGTTTCAGCCAGCCCTTCATGGCTTCAAAATCAGTGGTTTCTCCACTTCCCTGGGACTAGTAAAGTCATTTTTTATCTACTTTGCTTTAGGCTCATCTACATTTTCTAAGCCCACTGTCTGATATCTTGCCATTGACATTTTATTTTACAGTCTTCCATTGACACTGGATTAAGAAAACATGGCCATCTCTTCCATTAAGTGGGAAACTCATAAAAGCTTTTCCTTTTCTGAGTCCCTAAGGCTGTTCCCTTGAGGCATTGTGTGCAATTTCAGTACATGCAGTAAAGCTATTGATATGTTGGGAAGTAAGTTTATCAAATTCTCCCTATCAGGTTAAAAACTCCCCCGTCACTGGGTTCTTACCTGGAAAAGGGCAAGGGAGAAGCTTCTTTCATTTCTATTTAGGTGGGTTTTCTAGACAACTCGTTTAGCATGGGGACTTGTGTTTTGTTATGTTAGTTAAGTGTTTCAGTGTGAGGTTAGAAGCTTGGGGCCGAGTATAGCTGGGGAAGAAAGAGATAGTGGGGGGAAGAAAATCGGGAAAGAGGACAGGTGTGACATAAAAGCCAGCAGGGACTAGGAACAGTCCTAGTTCTCCTTCAGTTTTGTAAATGATTTCTCTCTCACCCCCAGGAGAACCAGTGAAGAGATCCATTCAGGAATCAGGAGCATTTTTGCCTCAGGTACGGAATAAATGATCTGACTTGGTAGTGTAAGCACAGTATCTGTGGAGAACATTGGTGGCTTTACAAATATCTGTCTATTAAGAATTCTTTGTGACAGAAGGATGCTGAGGATGCTATTCTGAGAACTCTTCTGTTCTAAAGGGGAACCTTGGATGTAGCAAAGAAAAAGATGTTGATGTGGATTGCCATTAGTGAACTTTGGAATACAGGCAAATTCCAAAATGGCATTTCTCTTCTCAGCTGAGTGATTGCTGAGTCAATAAGTAAGCAGTGACCCTGAACCTTGACTTGTTATGGCTTTTTCTATGCTGGTACATCTTCTCTATAATAGAAGGCAATAGAAGGCCTGCTTTTGTGTGGGTTTGGAAAAACATCACTTGTACAAACTCAGGTTGCTGTGGAAACTTATGACCCATCTTTTCTCTGTGTTTTACGTTATCTTTATGTCACAAAGCTAATGTGTAAAGGGACTGCGGGCTTCATTAAAACTAATTAGAAACTAAAATAACTGGTTGATGTTGACGGGAAATGTCAGTCATGGAGACTTCAGCCTGTGCCTATTGAGTAACTCATCTGCCAAAAGGAAAGTTAAGGAAATCCAAAAGAAAAGATAGTATGGGTGGGCCCTTGAGGTAAGAGAACAATGTTTAGCTTCTTTGACAATCCCTGCTTTCCTTTCCAGCACATAGTGGAAGAGAGGTATAAGATGCAGAGCAAGCCCCTGGGAATCTGCCTGATAATTGACTGCATCGGCAATGACACAGGTAGGTGTGGATGCTCCAGATGAATTGATGCCCCATAGTGATATCGAGGCACACACAAGCGGTGTTCATCAGAGGCATCAACACTAGCTGCTGTTTAACAAACCACTGCCAGAAATGTGGTTTCACACAGGAAGGGTAGTTTCTTACTCACGTCTGGTGGGGATGGGGCTGGGGAGCGTCACTGCAGGTGAACGTCAGTGGGGTCATCGTCAGAGGGCTTGGAGTTTTCTTTGGATCCTCTATGTATGGCTGGTGGGTGAAGGAAGTGAGTGGAGGAGCTCAGAAGGACTTTAGGGACAGGCTTGAAAGTGATGCGTATCATTTCTACCCACAATCCTTTGGTTAGAACTCATGGCCCCTTCCAACCACAATAGACAAGGAACTGAGTCTAGCCATGTGTCAGGAGGAAAATGAAAGGGAGCTGGAGGAACCCACAGTGCTGTCTCTGGCACAAAGGCAAATTTTGTGAAAGTTGGGAAGGTTCTGTCTTTGCTTTCCATACTAGATGCTGCGGCAGGAAGGAGTCCTGAAGTCCAAGGAGGGGTTAAAAATGGAATGTTTTTCTGGGCTTTAGTATTATCAGATGCCCCATCATTTCACCTAGATAGACCTTTAAAGCTTTTCTGGGGAATATTAAAAATAGGATAAATTTGTGCTCATTTAGAGGCAATGTGTCTGCCACCCTGGCCTTTGGTTATTGGCCTGAGTCTATACTACCTGTTTATCCTTGTTTGGATCTGAATGGATTCTTTTGCTCAGTCGTTGGATGTCTGACTCGACCTGAATCAATCACTGGTGATGCATCAAAAAATAATGAGAAGAGCTTATATATGTGCAATAAAATTTGGTTTCATTATTTCTCTCTTTCCTGGAAGGATTGATTGTTTTATTTCCACAGTTTTCCAGCTTCTCAGCATTCTCTTAGAATGAGTCAGAGCTGTGTTTTTTCGGCTCACGTAAAATGTTACCATGGTGGAACTTGCCTGGTGGTCCAGTGGCTATGACTCTGCTCTCAGTGCCTGGGGCCTGGGTTCGATCCCCGATCAGGAAACCAGATCCACCTGCGTTAACTAAAGATCCTTTATGCCGCCTAAGATCAAAGATCCTGTATGCCACAACTAAGACATGGTGTGGCCAAATAAGTAAAAATAAATAAATATATATATATTTAAATGTTACCATGGTGAGTTTTATGAGAAGAGAATCCAAGAAGGTCCAGTTAGCAACTCTTAGACTGAATTTCCTGGGATTTCAGATATGATCTCACTCTCTCCTGTCCTGTATTTGGTTAGATGTGAGAAATGCTGTCTCCTGAGCTATAGATGTGTCCCATATTTATTTATTTTTATTTTTCTTAAACGGAGATGTATTTGACGTACAAGATTTGTTCTTTCTGTTTTAGCCCTTAGTGTTCACTTAAGAATGAGGAAATGCCTTCTCAGAAAGAGATTGTGTGATCGTCCTCCTGTTTCAGTTGTCACCAGTTTTGTTTCACGCATCAGCGAGAAGTTCCCAACTGAACTTGGTGTAGGATGTAGAGCTGTTGCATGAGGAGAATCACAGAGATAAAGCCATGACTTGTGATTTCCGTGGCTAAATTCCAGTGTCTACGTCCCTTGTTGAGTTATGACCCTCTTGTGGGCCGGGACGGAGTGTGTATTTGTATTTTTCTGTGTTACAGAGTTATGATCAGAGTTGAGCCCTGGGATACCACCACACAGGTGTGAGTCATGGCTTTGCCATGTCCTAGTTGGTTCCCTGGGGCACTTTTTCTAGCCTCTCTGTAGCTCCATTTTGCTTCTGTAAACTGAGTTCATAACAGGACACACCTCACAGGGAGATCAGGAAGAGTGAGTGAGTCATGCTTGTTAAGAACCTAGGGCAGTGCCTCACACACACACACACACACACACACACACACACACACTTATCAGGCACTAAAATAGCCATTTTGTGGACATTAGTTAATGTTATTTGTCCGTTTTGTTTGTTTAATTTTAGTTGTAGATCGCTGGGCTAGACCTCACCATGGTTTTGACCTTAGCACATGGACCCTGACCACAAACCAGTGAGGGACCAGAGAACTGGGATCCAGAGGCCTGTATCAGTATCTGCAAAATAGCTCAAAGATATTGTCTGTTGATGGGTATGCAGGACTTGCACCAACACTGTCCTTGACTTTGTTTCTCCCTGGTCTCCCGTTCCCTCCATTCCTTCCATTCCTGATTAACAGCTGCTGGAATCTGCCCATTGGAACTCAGGGAGGGTCATGGAAGCTGGGTGAAGGCTGCTTTCTATAATCAAAGAAATGCAGGGCCCCACAGGGCCCCTGCACAGTATCAGTCTTATCCCCATTTCAAGATGAGCAACCAGAGCACAATAAACTCCCTTTCTATCTTTTCTCATTAAGGAAGTGAGCTGGGATTTGAAAGCTTGACTACAAAGCCTCTGTTTTTAGCCACATGAGCTTCTGCTCTGTGTCTTCAGAACCTGGAACTGGATGGCACATGATAGTTCAGTAAATATTTGTTTGGTGAATGAAGGAAGGAACAAACTCTATTGGTCTTGGTATGTTTCTAAAACCATTCCTTTGTTCCTGTAGAATTTAGCAGACTCCCTTACACCTATCTGTTCCTGTCCTCAAAAAAAATTAGACTTCTATCCGAAGAGTATGTGATTTCCCCAAAACTTTATAGATTTATTCTTCTTTTATTCCATAAATGTTTATTGAGCACCTACTATGTGCAAAACACCACACTTGGCCCTATGTGAAGCGGGTATAGTGGCTCATTCTTTTAAAAAAAATTTTTAAGTTTTTTTTTTTTTTTTCATTAGTGGCTCATTCTTGAGAAGAACTTTAGAGAAGTCAGTAACCTCTTCTTGGAGCAGACATAGAGGCTTAAGGATTTGGGGCTAATTGTCTCAGTTCAGTGGCTTTGTGCCTGGCGTCCTCACTGTTGAGTCGCTTGTGTCAGAGACTTCGTAAAGCTAGGCTTACACGAGGCCCTGCTTCAGGGTGCCCTGACAAAGCATCTTGTTAAGGAGGGGAGAAGTGAAAGCCCCAGATCACAGACACATGGACTCTGGACCTTGACCTTGGGGCTGGGGTTTTTAGACTGAATGAAAGATGGTGTTTTCAGATTTTAAGAGGATGTGTTTATTCGTCTTTTCTCCCTCACTGTTTCTGAAAAGCTTGAAGATTTTTGTGTGCTCTTTTAACTAGGCTAGGATGGAGATTTCTCTAACTGATGCTGCACACATCTCTGGGAAATTTGCGCAAGTAAACTTTCTCTTCTAACAGAGCAGCAGTGGTTCTGAAGGCTGAAAGTTGATCAGAGAGCTTCTTCTGCAAGGGTGTTGACTGGAGCTTGGCTGCTCCTTGGGGTTGCACAGCCCCTTTTCTCAATTTTGCTTAATGGAATGGGTTGACAACCCAAGTCAGCAGCATTCTCCTATACTGATAGATATAAGCAAATCTCAGCAAGGGGAATCAGAGCAGCCATGGTGGCCTCTGCTCCCGAGCTTTGAAAACACGTGGAAGTCGGACCTGAGATGGTGATGGAGGCTTCACTCCCATAGAGCAGCCACTGTTGCCTGCCAGCTTGAGTGCCAAGAAGATGAAGCCTCTCCCTCTCAACTCCCACGGCAGTAGCAGACTGTTAAAGATAGCTTCCCTGGGAATTGAGCGGGGGGAGGGTGTGTGGAGCCAGGAAGTCTGTGGTGGATGCTTTTTTTCCTGGGCATCCTTGTTTAGTTTGGCTGTGCTGGGCCTTGGTTCCTGCGCAGGTTTTTCTCGAATTGCAGTGTGTGGCCCTCTCGTGGCGCTGGCTTCTCTTTGTGAGGAGCGTGGGCTCTTGGGCATGTGGGCTTTAGCAGTTGCAGCTCCTAGGTCTAGAGCACAGGCTCAGTACTTGTAGCACATGGGCTTAGTTGCGGCATGTAGGGTCTTCCCAGATCAGGGATCGATCCTGTGTCTCCTGCATTGGCAGGCAGGTTCTTTACCACTGAGCCACCAGGGAAGCCCTTTCTGAGCATTCTTATCCTCTGAGACTTAAGCAACCATTCAGTTGGAAACCTAGCATCACTAATGAAATTTCCCTTTAAATCAGTGTGTGTGTGTGTGTGTGTGTGCCCGCCCTCAGCCATGTCCCGATTCTTTGTGAACCCCAGTTCTGGGGTTCTGCAGCCCACCAGGCTTCTTTGTCCATGGAATTCTCTAGGCAGGAATACTGGAGTGGGTTGCCATTCCCTTCTCCAAGGGATCTTCCAGACCCAGAGATCGAACCTGCGTCTCCTGAATCCGTAGGCGGGTTCCTTACCACTGAGTTACCTGGGAAACCCTTTAAATCAGTGCTACATAGCAAACCCTTTTTTCACAGACAGCATAAATCTAGGATATAAAGAAGAATTTTAGGTCCACAAGCCCTTATTGGAGGCCCTTGTATTTCAAAATTTAAAAGTTTAAGCGTTCAGAACAATGATGTGGTACATATACTGTAATTTATAGAACATTCCAGTGGGGTCTAGGGTAGTGCCCCATAATCTGTGATTATTTCTACAGCAAAAGAAATGGATATTTGCACTAAGTGGAGTAAAGACCACAAATAGCTTTTCATTAGTCCAGGAAAGATTTTGCTACAAAACAAGTTAGGGAAAAGAACTTAAGTTTTTCAGATTCTGGAGTTTTGGAATTGTGGAAGAGGCATGGTGGGTATGTGGAAAAGCAGAGGCCTTTAAGGCTGCCTGAAGGACCACAGAAGCTTCTCCTGACATGCACTTGACATGTTTATTATTAATATTGTTTTCTCCTAAGAAAAGCTAGTCCCAAAGGAATTACTAGTCATCATGTGTAGCTTAAAAAAAAACGACGTTTGTAAAGTAGCCTATAATTTTGTGTGTCCAGTAAATGGATTGTCCAGTAAAACCCCCTGATCGGTGTATCGGAACAAATGGAAAGTCAGGTTTATACAAGCCCTGCCCCCCCACTCTCCACTTCCCTT